TCCCAGTAACAAGACATCCGTGGGGAGGGTAAACTTAGGAAGAAAGCAAGTGGTGGGCAATCATACAGATACCTTCTCTTCTCGAGCTCCATCCTCACCAGCAGGCATTAACAGAAGCAGGAGATCAGCTGTCCTGCGGCTGTACATCGCGTTGTTTGTGATCTGCATGCATTGAAAACTCTCCCATGGTGTAAACACCTTCATGTCCACAAGGGAAGAAATCAGCCCAGCTGTCAGTGCTCACCTTGCTTCAAGAATCACCTGCAAAGGTGAGGGAGGAGGGCACCGCAACGCCGCTCATGCACAGAGGAATCTGCTCTGCAGAAATCAGAGCGATCCCAGCCTGCAATTATAAAATATGTTTCTTAATATCCATAAGCTTCAGGAGCACAGCATTAACATTTCTCCTTCTCCTCTGCTGTGGCACCGGCTGAGAAGATGCTGAAGTACAGGTGCTTGTCACCTGCCTGAGGGCAGGCACGCAGCCAGGAACCGAAGCACAGCAATCTGAGCAGCTGTAAACCGATCTCTTCAGCCTGAGTTCATTTACTTGGCTCCGATTTGTAGTCTGCCTTAATACATGTTTAGCAGTGAGGTTTGCAAAACTGAAAACTGTTTGTGCTATAAAATGCAACTTTCTAGCGTGGTATCAAAACCTGATGGTAAATTTGACACGCTGGGAGGCAGTGGTTTGGGTCAGAAGAAAGATGACTTAGAACTAAGTAAAACTAAATGCTGAAGGGAACTTGGCATAGTAAAACTGCCATAGGCAGGGGAAAATTACGACTTTACTGAAGAAGAGAAAAAAAAAGTTTTACTACTGGCTTCTGACCTTATTGGCTTCTCAAATGTATACAAGGGAACGGAGAATAATTACCAAACAATTTGTAGTGAGAATTGGCTGCTCCCTGTCGTGCTAGATGCACGTGCTGCCTTCGCTGCAGCATCCTCTGCCAGCGCTTCCCTCTCTGCGCGCTGCTGCTCGCGGTGCAGAGCCCCAGCTGGCGGCTGCCAGCAGCTCTGGAAACACAGGGCCTTGGGCTGCAGGCTGGAAATTCTCGTTTCCAGGAGCAGCTTAAGGCCTGTGGAAAACTCCCACTGACTTTGCTGGGATTATCCATCTGCGGAAAGTTATTTGGAGGGAAGTGCATTCCTTTGTAGAACGGCTGGCAATAGGTCCGGGCAGCGCTTCGGTCTCAGTTCTGGTGTATTGTTTTTGTTGGGCCGTGTTCATTCTGTGCCTTGCACAATGGGGCTGTGCTCCATCACTAGAGCTTGCACTTTCCATTTTAGTCTAATAAAAGTAGGATTAAAAAAAGAAAGCCCAACTTGAATGCATAAATGTTTTCATATACCGGACCCCTAGGGCTCTGTCATGTTTGTGTCTTTGAGCTCAGCTCTACAAGGAGCTGTGAGCATAGATGCAGCATGGCCTCTGTGTTGTCAGAGCTTTTGGGGTCTCAGGTGAGGAAAATTGCACTGTAAATGGAAAATGAAATCAGGGACAATGCTCTTCCTTTGTTTTTTGAGCGCTGCTGTTTCTTATATTCTTTTTTACATTTCTCTTTATAGTTGTTTTGTGCTCTCATTCCTCCACGTGATTTCAAAAGTACTCCAATATTTAATTTGAAGGTTGAGGAGAAAAGTCCCCAAGCTAGCTTGTTTAAGGAGAATGTTATCTGCTTTCTGCTCAACTTATTTTCTGTGAAGCTCCAAGGCAAAGAATCCTACGCTGCATTTAAACTTAAGAGTTTGTTAGTAAAAATACCCGTCTTCCAGAGGTTATTTAAAAGGAGAGCCCACATTTCTCACACCCTACTATTGTCTGAAATACAAAATCCCATCCTATATTGCTATGCCAGAAAATGTTAGCGGATAAAGTGCCGAGCAGGTCGCAGTATTTCTAATTCAGATTAATGACCCCATTCAGCTTGTCTCCTTAGCAGGAAATTAGAAAGTGCTGGGAAGGAGAAAATAGTGATTCATAATGCGTGACTCTTTGTATTGGCAGTTGCACTCATTAAACACTAAGATACTGTTTTGATATAAAATAATTGAGTCTGACTTATTTATGGGATATGGCTGTCTCAGCTTGTAGAGTTTCCCTGGAAAGACTGCTGGCTCTGTGCCCCAGTGGAGGAAAAAGAGGTGGCCGGTGCCCATTGGCAAACCCTGGCCAGGTGAAGCACAGAAGAAATGCACAGAAAATGACCACACTGCACTGCTTAGAGAGCCTCAGAGGGGAAAACACCTTCTTCAGGAAGGTTTGGGGACAAAGTGATGGTAAGCCAAATGGGAAAGCAGCTTACACTGACTGCATAATTTGATAACTGCAGTTACAAGAGGATGACTCCTCACATCAGCGTGGCTCCTGGCCTCTCTGGACTAGATGTGGGTACAACAATGGTCAGTTGTGTGTTTTGGGTGCATCCTTCAGGCTGAGCCCAGGATACAGCTCTGCATCCCTCTCTGCTCCCCAGCCACAGCCTCTCCTCACCAGGGGGTGCCAGCCTTCCACTGGCCTCATGCATGGGCACCATCACTTCGTATGCTGAAGATGCCCCATCCCTGCAGGCATTCAAGGCCAGGCTGGATGTGGCTCTGGGCAGCCTGGTCTGCTGGTTGGTGACCCTGCACATAGCAGGGGGTTGGAACTGGATGAGCATTGAGGTCCTTTGCAACCCAGGCCATTCTATGATTCTGTGATTTTGGCTGTCCTGGTTCCAGAGCAATTACACTGAAGTTTGTGTAGAAATCTGGGAGAGTTCTCTCCTTTTCAGAGCTTTTGACAAATAAACTTCCTTCAATGCCCACTCTTAGTGGTTTTTTTTCCTCATTTGTTTCAGGCAGCAATAAAAGAAAGGAAGATTTGATTCTTTATCAAGTGTGTAACCTACCCCTGAGAGCTCTGCATTGGGCTAGGAAGAGAGCAGAGATTTCTGTTAGTAGGTGAGGTTCTTGCTCATCCCCAGGAATGCAGAAATGATGCTGAGAAGGAAAGACCAAACCCTTGGTTCCCTGGGGAATGCTGCAGCTCGCTGTTCTTAGGGTTTTGCTCCTACATTGGAGTTCTTTTTTCCTACCCAGCAGCGCAGCTCCAGCTCCTTGGTTGGTGTGAAAGATGGCAAGAAGGATAAATGCTGGTTGCAAGATCTCTGGTGTGTTCCACAGATTTGCAACCAGCAGGCTGTCCATACCTCGAGCTGTGGTAAAAAGGGTTGTCAGTACTATTGTTGTGTGAGGAGCTCAGGTTGGTTTGTGCCTGTTCATTTGGAAATAAATATGCAGTGGGCTGAGCTCAGATGGGCAGAAAAAGGACTGTGGGTCAAAGGGGACAAGAGGGTGTGAAATGTCAGCGTATAGGAGGCAAGGTGTGCCAAAGGCTAGGGTGCAAATGGCCTTGGATTTTCAGATTTGTATCAGTATTGTGCCAGACTTTCAGCATTTGTATGACTCACCTACGATCTGCTGAAATCCCGTCTTTGGTGTCTTTAAAAAATATTTACTTATTTACTCTGCATTTGGCTCGTGATCTTTAAGAGCTGTATTACTGGATGCTAAGAGGTGGCCCCGTTCACAGCCTCATGCTGCCTTGATTGAAACGCTGAGGTCAAAGGCCAGCAGGAGCCAAAGGTCTCTGCAAGCTAACCATATGCACAGGCTTGCCGAGCTCTTCTCCCTCCGTGTCATGAAGACAAATGGCATTTTTTAAGAATTCTCCCAATGAACTAGCATTCATTTGCTGGTGTCTCTTCCTTTTTTATTGCTTCCTAATGAGCTTCATTCCCATCACCTCTAGCCTCCTCGAGTCTGCATTTACACCGATGCATAGAAGAGCAGCAAATTGAACAAATTAATTAAGTTGGTCCGTCTAATGAAAGGAGCTCTGATGACTCTTGGGTTTTCCCCTCTTGCTTTTTAAAGAGATCTTCTCTATATCTTTAATGACCACAGTTGCTAGGCTTTTTCTGTCCATAGGCTCTGCAAGAACACCAAATTCTCTCTGTGTGGTGTTTTGGGCTTAAGTGAGAACACTTCCTCCTCTGTGTATATTTTTACACATGCACACATGTATATATGTGCACGCAGGTATATTTTTATTCTTTATTTGTGTATTTCTGGCCGTTATTTTACTTGCTTGTTTATTATTTTTGCAGTGGAATTTTCATGAAAGTGCTATTCAGGAGCTATTTGGAGTGACAGCTATTACTAAAGAGGGAATCCGTGCTGTTACAGCCCACAGTGCTTCCTCTCTGCCTGGTCTGGCTGGGGTCTATCTGTGCTCCTGTTTGACCCATACTGCTTTGTTTGCAGTCTCTGGGCCAGACCAGCTGCTTCAAAACTGTTACCTGCATGTCCTTCTCCTTTCCTTCACATATCTTTTTCAGACCTCTGAAAAGTTTGAGAGTGAGCACCAACAGTGCCTCCTGAAACGTTCCTAGTGAAAACTGCACCCAGGGATGCTCATGCTTACACTGCCTTTTTTTTTCTTTCCCCAGCAGTATCACTCCTTACTACGGGGAGGAGAAGGCAGCTGTTTAAAACTGTAAAATTCCACTTATTTCAATGAAGTGTTGAAAATCTGGCCCCACACGTTTGTGCTCCTCATTACCACGGCCTTATGTTTTACGTCAGGTGAGGATGTTGACTTTGGTACTGCAAGTTGCCTATGTATAAAATGCATACAGCACCTCCGTGTGTAAATTGCTGTCTTTACGTTGCTTTAAGAGACTCTCAAGGTGTGAAGGAGCATGATGAAAGCAATGAACTTGCAAATGTTAAGTGTGGATCTAAGGCTCTACCAGTCCTGACCATTTCTTTACGTAACCACTGTAAGCATGCACTGCGTGGCAGTGGAGCCATTGGTGAGATGGAGCTGTTAACCAGGTGTTACCATCAGGCCAACCAAGTTTACCCTTGGAAAAGAAAAATCACGACAGCTGTGCTTTTGTTTCTTATCACCAGTGCCCTTTGCTGCATATCTCTGCTTTCTCAGGAGGGTTTAAAGGCTGGTTACAGATGAATGGGACTAATGGCCTCCACCTGATTTTTACAAGATAGCTATTTAATCCAACAATTCTAAGTGCTGTTTCCTAACACAGTACTACTGTTACCAGATGAAAGTGCTATGGATTCTTTCCAAGGAATATGTGAATAATTTTAAATTGCTCTGCTGAAAGTGCTTTTGCTGAGCCTTTTCCCCTTCCTGTCTGCGCTGCGTTTTCACTTTGAAGTAATAAATACATATAGTCTCTTGGTGTCTAGGTACTTACCCTGCTCATTTTCTTCCTTTTTATTCCACAGCTCGTCACTTCATTATACCTGAAAAACAGTGAAGCTTCTGTGAAGTGAAGGCTCTACGAAACACAGGGATGTAATTCTGCACCCAGAAGAGGTACTATCTGAAACTTCAGTAGTGGTTAACAGAGGGTCTGTAACGTGGTATGATGAATTGCTAGTGGGGATCTGAACCTGATCCAGCTTTCACTGTTGGTACTTTGTTAACTTCATTAGAATTACTACATGATCACAGAATTGCAGGGGTTGGAAGGGACCTCCAGAGATGATTGAATATGAAATATCAATTTCTTGTCCTTCTGCACCTCTTTAATTCACTGTACATAGGACTCCAAAAAGAACGGTACAAAATTTTGTTTCTGCTTCTTTCATCACGCAGTTTATCCTGCAGTACTTCACCATTCTGCAACTAGAAGGCCTGGAGATGGAGGACAAATACACGGCAATGGAATCCTTATGCACTTGATACAGTCTGGATGATGGGTTTACTTCAATCTCTGAGTGTGAATTTGTTAGTACAAACTCCGAAGAAGTGAAGGATATCCAGAATAAAGCAAAAGCCCACAACTGGGAGAGAAACTTTCACCAAAATTCTTTTAAAGACATCCTCTTTTTATTCTTGTATTTTCTTATGTGCTCTTACTTCTTTTTGTGTTCCTTCCACCTCACTGATAGGAAGGACATAAATGGCTCTCTGTGCAAGAACTGGAGTGCAAGAAAGTGCTGCTGAAGACACAGGCTGAATCTGTGCTCCTAACAATATCAGCTTGTGGAAATAAGACTTGCTACTTGAAAAGCTGCCTATTGACATTTTTGTTTTTCCTTTTAATTAGAGATATCAGAATACATTACCTACATTGAGAAGAGCAGTAAGGGTGATGTAAGCTATGGGTGAGGTTTTGGACATTTCATTTGTCCAGTTTCATTAGTTCTGCTGTGGCCAGATTCACTGGCTCCAGCTTTCATAGTTTCAGGACCTTTCTCCCTGCTGGAATTTCCTTTAGTTGAGGCAGAAAGAAATGAGCTTATTTTGGAGGGCCAAAGTTTTTTTGTGAAAATGAGGAACTGCACACCACATATTACTGTCTCTGCAGAGGTGGAGGGCTAAATTGGATTGGTTTAATCACAGAACCACACCATAAAATATATATATTAAAATGGCCTTTTTCCCCCCCTTTCCTTTCTTTTATTTTTTTTTCCTTCTGCAATATCCCTGAACCATTTTCTGTGAGCTACAGTTCTAGCAAATAATTCCCTCCTTTAAAATGATCCAGAAGCATCTCTAAGACTTTGACAGAGCTGTTGTCTCTTATGCTTAATGGCTTGAAATTCTGTCAGAAGAAGGAAGAGCATAAGGGTACCATGCAAGCCTGCTTATGCTGCCTACCAGCAAACCTCAGCTCTGCAGTTTGGGCAACACTGCTGAGAATCTACTGACAATTTTCACATAACTCAAAAAATGGCACTAGGATTTGTTATAGAAAGCACCTGAGCATCTCCTGAGACCAAGGTTAACTCCTGAAGGAAATGGAGGTGCAATAACTTGTTCAAAGCTATGCAGCAGAAATAAAGGGCCTGGCTATGACCCTAAGCCAGTGTCTTCATTTCTGGCTCATTCAGTCTCTTGGTGATGTGATTTTTTCACAGCACATTCAGGTCTAGAAACAAGGGAACAGGACCACAGGGAGAGGTATAAATGCAACAAAACCTGCTAAATTTGGTTTCCACATAGCTGTCATGCTCCTTAGGAGATGCGGTTCCTTTGCTTGTGCCTTGGAATGTTTAGCAAAAGGGTTCTGTGAGTAACATTATAGCTTTATAAAGAGTAATCCAATTCTTTTAGTCTGAAATGTCTCTTCATATGTTTAGGAAGAAGCCAAATAAGAGGGAGAACAAGATGTCCAAAGGAACATAAGATGTATATTTGCTCTGTCAGTTTTCTTCAAGAAAAGAAGAACTATACTCCCTACAAGTTTGAGATTAGTTCACTTCTTGGGAGTTGGCACTGCAGAGAGCATATACTTGTAGGGCTACATTCACACAAAAATCTGCTTCATACAGACTACTGATTTAGATGTTAATTTAGGAGCATAGGCTCTCTCTGTAGTCACTGGAGCCTAAATTAACATCTTGCAATTCCCTTGAAAGGACTCACCTTTCTCTATTGAGTACAGAGCGACCTGAGGCTCCTAATTCAGGCACACAGGTCCCACAGGCACACAGCTTAGGGACGGCCCAGCGTGTTAGCCTTGTACAAACCAGACCCTGTTCAAACCTTGCACACCTCTCATTTGCTGAGCAGGGCAGAGATCTCATAGCACAGACCTTGCTGTGAACCTGTATCACTGAGCAAGGAGCCGAGGGTCTTTGCCAAACGTTGCCAGATCACAGCCTTGTCAGAGCAGGGGATGGCTTTGGTCGGCCTAGAAGTCAAGAAGTTTTCACAGGAGCAAAAGTCCTCACTGAGAGTAAATTGCTGGAGCACACTGGCAGAGAGCAGGACAGCTTTTGGAGTGAGGGGGGTGAACACCACGAGCAAGGGCCCTGCTGGATGTGTTGTACTCCAGAGAATCAGCATGGCTGTGGCACACCTCACCTCTCCTTGAGGGTGAGGGGAGAAGTGGAGATGATTAACTCAGGGCAGGGAGTGAAGGTGCCTGCAAATCCCTGACTTCTACGTCCACCTCTGCCAAGGGCTCTTCCTGGCACCCTGCACAAGTTGCCGGTCTCCTGCTCAGCCTCCACCTCTTGCGAGGAGAATGACTTTATTTACAGGAGGTGATGTCACAACAGCGTTGTGAGGGGATGTGACTCAGTGTTTTTGTATAATGCTTTGAAGACGAAGAGTGCTAAGTATTGTTATTTGAGATGGCAACAAAATAAAACAAAATGTGTTCGGTGCGGCTATTCAAGCCAAATCCATTTTCAGTTAATCTTCCAAGCAGGAATTCAAAATCAAAGTAAAAAGCCTCGCCAACTGGAACTTTACAGCTTGATGGGAAAGTATGAAAGAGAATTAATTGGGTTTTAAATAGTTGTAACTGTATTGTGATGCAGCATGATCTGGAGCGCTCGGCTGCTGCTGGTTGCCAACTGGTTTGGAGCTGGGATTGCTCAAGGGAATCTTTTTTTTGCAGCAAAGAAAAATAGCTGGGCCATCGTGCACAGCTCTATAGACTGACAGGAACTGCCTCTGTGCTCTCTATGAAAACATGCACTTTTTCCACTTCGTGCTGCTTTTTTTTTTTTTTTTTCAGCAATGCAAAAACAGTGGAAGATGTGGAAAGCAACAGAATTGCCCAACACCACCACAGAGCACCTCATGGGGATTGTCTCCCCTCCCAGAAAGGAGGGATGGCAAAATACGATGGCAAAGCCTGTTATAAATACCTGTTCAAAGCAAGTTCTCCATAAAATAGGCGTACCAGCACACTGGCTTCCTGGGAGCATTGCTAAATCCAGATCACTTGCAGATGACTTTCAAGCTCTGTACTGAAATTAGCAAAGTTCCACGACTGTTAACTGCCAAAGACTTGCTTCTTGTAAGGAAAAGTCTGTGTGCATTGGCTTCACATTTTTCACCTGATGTTCAAAGGGGCTTGGAGACGGCTCTCAGCCTCTTGTGTTTGGTGGGGTTTGTCAATATGAAGTGCCCTTATAAGTGGGCTATTTAGTGCTTTCCCACTTTCAGTGAATGCAGTGTTTTGTAGCTAAGCCGTACTGTTTGGGTTTTCCTGCTCTGTCCTCAAATCCTATTTTTTGTTTTCTTAATACTTTTGAAGTTACTCGTTCCTAAAATATGACTCTCAGTAAACATTTCAGCACTTTAATTTGGCTTAAATTTTACACTTTAATATTCAAGTTCCAAAATAGTGCCAAGATGATGAGCCAAGAAAAAAGATGATGGCTCTGGAAGCATCTCTTTTCAATATCTTTTACTTCTGCTAAGCTATATACACAAGAAGCTGCCTTACAAACAGCTTTATATTGCACTCTATTGCCAATCATTGGAAAAACATGCCATAATGGGTTGCAAATGGCATAATGTTATGCAGCCAGAATGAACAATATCATTGGAAAGATATCATATTGATAAAAGCAGGCATGGAGAAAATAAATCTAAAGTCTCTCTATCACAAGTAATAGAAGAGAGGAAAAATTACAGATGTTTTTTTCTACTCAGAAACAACCTGAGCCAACAGCACTTTGCTTGCTGAAATGTTTTCTCTCTTATATTCCAAACAAAATTTGTTTTTCCTTTACAGCCATGTTTGCTGTTGTTTCTTTGCATAAATCATTTTTCTCACCTTTAGAAAGCAGCTTCTCTCTAAGAATCCATTAATTAGCTGTCAGAGGAAAGCAAAAATCATACATTCACAAACACTGAGCGGACAGAGCGGTCCTGAAACACCCACAGCAAACATTCATTACTTCAAGTCTGGCAACGTTAAAAATGCAGCACAGGACTGATAGATTTTTTTTTTTTTTTCCCCACTTTTTGGAGTGTAATCAGTCTTTATGATTATGCTTTACTGTCCAGTGTAAAAGTAACACAGCAATTTAAAACCATGTGATGGAAGCCCTATGCCCAGCATACACTGGACTAGCTTTTCAATTTCGGCTCCTCTGACACTGAGTGCTCATCCCAGAGGGGTGATCTTGCAGGCTGCTTATGCTCTGAACTTCTTTGTTTCAGTGCAGAACCCACTGGAGTCCACTTTGCAGGAGAAAGCTTGCTCAGAGTGCTGTGAGGCCTTTAGGGAAGGGGTGGAAGATGAGAGGGGCAATGGCTGCAGTCTTGCTGAGGTGGATCCATTGCCTTTGCTCTTCTGTCTCTGTTGTGTCCATATACGTATGTGTATGCATATCCATCCTCTCTCAAACACATACCAACACTGCTTTGGCTTAATGGCCACCATTGGAAACTGAGCAGATCCTCGTGTGTCCCCAGACAGGCTGGAGACTGGGGTATGGGGTATACTACAGCTTGCTGGCAGTAGTAGCTACAGTCACTGGGCAGAAGGCAGGGTGCTCTGGGTCTGAGGGTTAGTTAGAACAAGCTCTCCTGTCTGTGCTGTGAGTGCACAGAGCACACAAGGCAGCAGACTCCTCGACAGCACACTCGGGGCGGGTGGCAAAACTAAAAATCCCAGACTCATGAAAAGATACACATCTTTTCCAATTATTATTTTGGCAATCTCGACTTTCCAAGTGCTTTCTGGAACACATCCAGAAGCTGAGGAGCCCCTGGTCCCACACGGGGCAGCTTCTGACATCCATCGAACGGAGACTCACCCTGTAAAACTCCGCCTGGGAAGTTCTGTCAGAAAATAAAGCACCATTAACTGGGGAACATATGTGTCTCCTTTGTGTCTGCATTGGGGGTGTCAGCTGTGTGACGGTCATGCAGTTTAATTAAGGCAAGGCACACTGATGTGTGCAGTTTTATTTCAGCTTGTTCTTCCTTGCAAACCTAATGGACTTACTCAGCCCCTGAACAAGCCGGCAGTGTTTCTGCCAGAGGTCCCTGTGTGGATGCTGTGGGCTTATAGAACGCATTGTCTGGTCCTACAGAAATCCAGCTTCTGCCCGTAGTGATTTGAGGGCATTCTGTTATTACTGCCTTCCTTTAGAAAAGGCGATGGCTGAGACAGAAGGCTCTCATTTTACTGCACGACGGAGAGGATACGATGGCTGTAACGTACAATTCTGCCTTTTGTGGTGCTTATTTTACAGACGGCTTAGGAGCTGCCTGTCACCAGAGCCGCTGCCAGGCCCTACTGGGCGCTGCACCAGGCGCTGCCACAGCCGCTGTTCCGGGCCCGTTCCGGCCGCGCTCCGCCTGGACGCGGGCGCCACCTGCTGGCCGAACTGCGGCACTGCAGTTTTGCGCCTCCCGTCCCCTCTGAGGTTTTAAGTTACTTGGAGTTACGTTTTAACAATGCCAAGGATTGACTGAGGTGTGCGGTTTCTTTTATTAAATTATTTTATTGCTTTTTATTTTTTTTTTTTAAACGCAGGTTCACTAAAAAAAAAGCGCACCTCAAAACTCACCGTGCTGACTGAGGTTCGCGCTCCGCTCTTCCGCGCTCCTCATGCAGTACCTCTCACGGACAGGCGAGGCTGCTGTGCAATTGCTGCTCTCATTTGTGAGGAGTGATGAGAAGGGGACTGTGTCACGGCTAAGGATCTCCCGTGGCCTCCCACCCTGCTGTCCCAATGCTTGGGAATGCTGCTTTCCTCCCCAGCGGGGTTTGGGACAGAACAGCTCCGTATCTTTGCAGCATGCAAACTGAAGTTCCCTCACTTCTCTTTGCTTGCAGAGGCTGCTGAGAGATGGCATTGCTAGGGAAGGGCACAGCAGGGACTCACGTCTGCACCACGTGTTGGTGAGCATTTTCCACATGGAAAATCACCATCTCCAGACAGAACTGTTCTGTACCTTTATAAATCCAAAAGAAAACTGAGTAGTTCAGTGCAATTGTATTCTATTTTCCCAGTGTATTGTCCTGGGAAAGTGCATCTATTTACAGCAGGTCTAAATATATATGTATATATATTTCTCCAAGGGAATGTATTGAATGAACTGTATTATTCTCAAGATAATGGACAAAAATCGTGAAAACTTTATGCTCTTTCACAAGCATTAATAATTCCGGGGTTGTGCAGGTGGGAGGGCAGGAGGATAGAATTGATAAATGGAAAAGTGAAATTGGAGAGGAATGAAGGTGTAATTTCATATGAAATATTTCTCCATGTGATACCTCTTTTTCCTTTAGAACTGTTCGATGAGGAGAAATGCTTTGCATTTCCTGCAGCCCTCAGGTTTTTACTGCTTTTGAAGAGCAGCACTGTTGAAAGGCAGTGAGAAGATGATGGCTTGTGGGAGCCTTAATTGGGCCAAATGATGGACCGTATGAACAGCAATGGGAATTTCCTCGTGCTCTGGGGCAGTGCTTGAATTTTGTCTATAAGTCATCTTGTGGGCTGAGAACGCTGTTCCTCTCCTCTGCTCGTTTATTCTCCAGCATCTCTCCCAGACTTAATGAGATCGGACGAATTTCCGTGCTCTTTAGGTTTATTTTCCTGTACCTTGGAAACTGGGTGGCTTTCTGTCATTACCTTCCTTACAGGGCAGTGGTAGCAGCAGTGGTCACTGCATGCGTTGAGTGGGCCCAGGTGAGCTCCTGTGTGGGCTCCACATCAGAGCAATCCTTCCATCGTGTGTTTGCCTGGAAAATCCTGCCATTAAATCTCATTGGAAGAACCAAACATTTCAACTCTCAATGTTCTTTCTCAACGTTTAGCACTTTTTAGTAATTTCTTTAAAAAAAAAACAAACAAAACTACTGTTAGTCCTTCCACCGTGAATTATAAGTGATGACTTCATTTTTTATTTCAACTTCTTTGCCTCACTGCAAGCTATTTCTTATGGGCACTAGTAAGGATTTAAATCTGTCCTGCTTTAGCAATGAGAACTTCTGTTCAGGGCCCAGAAAACTTGATTAACACTGAATAAACACAGTTCTGCTTTCCATAGTGTGCAGCATAGAAATGCTTTTTGATTGGATCTTGTATTCAACATCACGCAGATTCAATTTATGTCTGAAAGTAAATGAATTTGAATGTAATGAATTTGAAACTTTGCAATGTGGGTCTCACACGCAAAATTAACAAAATAGGTCATTTTGAAGAATAATGATAAAAAGAATAATTAGCACAGGAAGGAATATTTGCAGCCCTATTAGTCAGAAGCAAATGGTAATATAAAATAAAAAGATTAAAAATCCATAGTGGCTTTTCCAGTGAGAAACTTGGGAGCATGTGAGTAACTTAAGTGGGGGAAAAAAGCTGCTAATTGAATTGTTAGTGAGAGCTTTGTTCAGCAGGGTTTGGGTGAGCTCTGGTTTGGGTGAGCTCTGCTGGTTTTTGTGAGTGGGCCCCCCTGTCCCTGTCACCACCTGTGTGCTGGAGGTGTTGGATCTCTATTTATTTACGTAAAAAGGAAAGCACCAGGAGCATGCTATTGATTTCATTGATTGGAAACGTGCGACTGGCACAAAAGAAAAGACAAGTTAGAGTGGATAGCAGTTGCTCTGAAGCTTTCACAGCGAGATAAAGAGTTAAGATATGAGAAGGAGTTTAAAAGAAGTCACTGCATCAGGCTGGGTAAATGCTTTTGTCCCTCTGCACTTAGAAGCTCAAGTGCAGTTCTTGACAGTTAGCTGTGAAGAAAACACAAATGCACTTAGTGGTCAGCTGGGGGAGGTTTTGCCTGGTTGTAGGCTGTGTCTGGCTGCTCTTGTACAGGGATGCTCAAAGCACTGCAGGTCACTTTGTTTTGGTTTTCATATCTGAATGCCTTTGGTAACTCCAACAAAAAAAAAGAAACCAACCAAAGCAAACAAAAAAAAAAACAACCCCAGAGCGAACGTTTCCCTTCTCAAAAAGGCCAATCCATTAGCCACAAAAACAACAGATGTTGAAAGGAAGTAATTGGAACTGCAAGATTGAAGTTGGCAGCCGAGGGAAAGGAGTTGCCAAACTGCGTCGTTGTTTTGCTGCTTCTGAAAGCCTCAGTTCCTGCTAATGGAAGGCTTCTGCGTTTGGCCCATGTGCAGATGTCATTTCTCACTGAGTGCATAGGGTAGATTGGAACTCCGTTGTTACTTTGCAGTGAGTTGTATGGGATGCTTTGTTACACGTCAGTACAAATAAAGAAGAAGTGTTTTGTAAATGGAGCGGTCAGAGGAGGGCAATTGAAATGTTAGTTCTCAACATACGCTGTTCTCCTGGGTTGATTTTTGAATTCATGTTATCCACTAATTAGCTAATGACTATAAAGTGTATTAAAGGTAGAAAATGCTTTAAGTGCTACGTGCTATTGTTACTATCGTTATCTACTAGGTTTAATTAGTTTGTGTACGTTTTAATTGGATTCTTGAGATGTAAACTAGAGAATGTGGTTTGGGCCCAAATGCCATCCTGGTGAAATGCACAGCTGCAATGCCCATATGCATAGGTAAGAAGATGCACTTGTTGACTTGTTTGCTCGATGGGCTGCTAAATCTTCACACCAGTCCTGCACGAAGGGGAGCATCGGATGGCTTCACTCTGCCTTCATTGTCTCCTTGTCTAAGACCAAGACAGGCTGCGTTCAGCCTGGCCTGGCTGTGGCATTTGTACTGAAGGCTGTGTTACAGTGCTAAGGAGTGATTTATGGCCTTGGAGAACTAGAAACAAGAAGGTTATGGCACAGAGATGAGCAGAGTCTCAATTTCCTTGTGGGGTCAGCACATTTCTGTCACCCTTCGAAGACGAGGAGCTGGCTTTAAACCAATGGTATTTTTGACGGTGTCTGCTTTGCAGTTTTTCTTTTTTCTTTCTGTGCAGAAATGACAAAACCTGCCGACCTTGTCTTTCATTCTTGCCTGTGGCTCAGAAAGTTATAGGGTAAATAACTTTCAATTCAGTCCTATTTATGTAGTTAGAAGTGACTACTTTGGAGGGAAACAACAAGATCCTGTTGGGAGAAAACCTCTGGGAGTTTTCCCTTTCAGTCTGGTCCAAACCACTGCTCTGCTCCCCTACCAACATCAGGGACTTTCTCAGTTTGTGTAAATTTGCACATGGTTTACTTCTAGAATTTGTTTTACTTCCAAAAGCAATTGGGCAGCTGGCAAACTTTCCCCTGCTTGTTTGCAGCGAGTCTCTCTGTCCTGCCTTTTTCAGAATGTTTTGGTTTTTAGTGCTTATAAGATACCTCCCACCATTAAAAAAAAAAAAAAAAAAAAGGCATCGCAGTTCAAAAAAGGAGGAAGTTTGCTCTTATTGTAGAACACATTTATCAGAGTTAAATCAGCTGGGGTACTCTGCTGTACAGCTAACTTGCAAAACTCTCTAACATCATTGCATTTTTGGCACTGGAAGGAAGTTCTTTCTGCTTGTGTTACTGGAACTGGAAGGGGATTCCAATTGAAAGTAGGTTATGTGATTTATTTTTTTCTTAATTATTTTGTATTAACTGTTTCCCTCTTCTGCTGCGTAATGCCTTGTTTCTCTGTGCACATGGCAGCCTGCTCCTGGTAAGAGATCAGAAATAAAGCTGATAGCTAAGGACTTGAGCAGGGTCACAGTGATGGAAACCACTGGAAATCACAGCTTTCTTTCCATGATCAGTTCTGGACATCAGTGGCATCTTATCCCCAGCTCTTTAAACTTCATGAGATTGAAACCATTTGTCCCTATCTTCAGATATGAGAAGGTTAAAATCCTTTGTTTAAACCCTGGATGAATGCTTGTTGTGTCAGCCTAGGAAATCAAGACACTGGATTAGATCCTTTTTTATTTCACACGGTGCTGCACTTGCACGAATTCCCCATGCAGTCATCCTGCTTTGTGTGCATTATTTATTTAATGCTACAAACAGAAAATACTCATCCCCTGAAGAACCTGTTTTTCTTTGGCCTCTAATATTTCCTTGTTGGAACAATGGTTTATCCTGCAGCCTGGCAGTCTATCTTCTGAAGCCCTTGCCCTTGGCAACGGCCATACGTCAGCCATGACAAAATGTACAGCAGTTTGTCTCTCTTTCCTTTCTGCTCCCTTTGTATTCCAAATATTGCAGTGTATGTCATCCCTAATTGCTGGCAATTGGCTGAGGTTGGCAATACTTTGCTGGCAGTTGTGAAGCGATGGTTTGTGCTATAGTTAAGCTAAATGTTTGTGTATTTTTTTTTTTTTCCTT